ACACACACACACACACACACACACACACACACACACATGCACACACGCACGCACGCACACACACATACACACAGACTCAGGTTTGTTTTTATATCTCTGTGAGGACCGTGGATTGACTTCCATTCATTTTTGGGTAATTTTATAGCCTAATCCTGACCCTTTACCCTAAAACTAACCACACAGGTACCTACCTGACCCTAAAACTAACCTAAACTCAATTCACACCTTGGTCCTAAACCTAAGCCCCCAAACAAAATTAGCATTTGTAACTGTGGGGACCGTGCAGTGATCCCTACGAGGCTGCCTTTTTCTGGAAAATGGTTCCCACGATGTAGCAAAAATGTGCCCCCACACACACACACAGAACAACAGGTCACTGGAGCTGGTGCTGATATAACAGGATTGATTGGGGTTGCTTCAATCTTACCGGTGCCACTCTGCAGAGCTCCGTTTGTGTGGCAGCTGTCCGCATAACAGTCATCGATCTTTGCTTTGCCTTTTATTTGCAGTGAAATAATTTGACTGGATATCATAGCCTCAAAGCCCACAACAATGGAATTCTCCTCCAGTGGGTATATAAAGATCCCTAAAGTGCACATAGAGAGAGCAACAGAGCAGAGCAGCAATCACTGACATGAAGTCAATAAAATGTCTTTAACAACCGTCTTCACAGCAAAGGTCTCAAAACTAATTTGTCTGACTCACCTTCAATAGCATGATCCTCAATATTCTCATAGGTCATAGAAGCTGTCAGAGCCAAAGTATACCCGCGGACACAGGAAGTGATGTCACACACACTGAGTGGCAGAGCACACCGGCTCTCCTTGTTAATGAGTCCAGGCATCGTGCCGGTTTTAAGATTCTGTTCAAACACAGAAGAAAAACTTCAGTCAGAAATAAAGGGAATGATTATTTTAGGAGATGAGCACTAACAACTTTCAGATTCAACTTGTCCTTGATGATACACATCCTCAACATCATGCCATCCTTAACTAAAACTCACAGTTTGACCACATTTTCTCTTCATGAGAGGATTTTATTCAAAACTCCGGCAGKCAGTGAAACAAATTCTGTATTTAGCTCCAGCAGGTCTTTATTTGTTAAAATACAAATAAAAGCTAATTCAATATATTCAATTTAGTATTTAGTATTAATACATCAGTGTCCACATGCTGTACATCTCTTTCATCATATAGATAAGGTTTAAAGCAGGGGTGCCCAAACATTTTCCCCAAGAGGGCCAAAATGAAAATCTATCCAGGGGTTGCGGGCCAAATGCAGTAATATACTACATGAAATACAAATACTTTTTTAGTAAAGTCCTTTATTTTTAATGATTAAGCTATGCAATGGCCCTTTTTTGTTTTAGTCTGTGCACTTGGAGAAAGTCTGCCATATGCTCAAGTAGCAAAGACTCATGGGACATTTTATAAATTAATAAAATGAGTTTTTGTGGTCTTATAAAGCGTACAAATCTACACGTGGGGTTAAATCTGATCTAAACATCTCTTGTTGTTCTTCATGTTTCATGTTTAATCCTAATATATCAAAGATAAGGTCAACACCATGAATGAAAACTACCTTCACTACAGCCCTTTAGTCATTAGACTAATTGAAATACTGTGTTTCTACATAGGATGACAGGTTACAACATTGTAACTTTGGCAACTGTTGGTGGGCCAAATCAAATGGCTTGGCCCCACTTTGGGCTCCTCTGGTTTAAAGCTTGTTAATACAGTGAAAAAAACATTTGTATAAAAAACATCTTCAGTGTAAAAATACCTTGCTGTTATTCTTGTAATATTTTAGTGTTTATTAAAAAGGACTTTACCAAAAAACACAACCTTCAGTTTTCTGATTTATTTTTACAACACACCTGTGATCCACAAATATTCTGTCAATGTAACCAAACGTTATTTATATTAAATTTAAATAGATTTCAACAAAGTTTAACTTTTTCTGTTTTATCTACATGTAGACCAGTAAATCAGTTTTAACTGTTCACTGTCCAAGTTATCCTTTATTCCATCCATTTACGTACCATCATCCACCAATTCATCCATCCATCACAGAATAGAATAGAATAGAATAGAATAGAATAGAATTTAACTTTTGTCATTGCACGTCACAAGTACAAAGCAATGAAATGCAGTTTGCATCCATCCAAAGTGCTTAGCAAGTTTGTACAAAAAGCAGCTGATAGGTATCGGCAGTCCAAGCAGGTTGTGGCTCGGGTGGTCGCTGAGGCAAAAACTTGAGTGGGAGGAGTTCAGAGTGGCCATAGAAAAGAATTCCGTAAGGCTTTAAGTCAATTCTGGTCCACCATTTGGCGTCTCAGTGGGGGAAAGCAGTTCACCGCCAACACTGTTTATGGTGGGGATGGTGCACTGCTGACCTCAACTCGGGAC